TGGATGGATGGATGGATGGATGGATGGATGGATGGATGGATGGATGGATGGATGGGTGGATGGATGGATGGATGGATGGATAGTGGTACTGTGTAATCACATGGAGGGGGGGTGCTATGGGTGAGGCTGAAAACACCGACGAGCCTGGAGTACTCGCATGGTCGAAATAATTTAGGTACATTTGTTCAATCAAAGAATGAAACATTTTTACTCTCTCTCTTTCTCTCTCACTTGAGAAATTTGGCATGCAGAAGAAAACATGACGTAAGCGTTGTTTGTAATGACGCCTTGGCAGGGATGTATTGACTGACGACTGCCGTTCTTTCTTCCACAGGCCCCGTGGTGGCGGGCGTGGTTGGTCATAAGATGCCCAGGTACTGTCTCTTCGGCGACACGGTCAACGTGGCTTCTCGGATGGAGTCTACCAGTCTACGTAAGTTATTTTTTGTTTTGTTTTAGTTTTAGTAAGAGTCTTACGACATTTGCAACACAATAAGATCATATAAGTGCCGAAGATTAGACGTGTTACAAGAGAGTCACAAACACAAAAAAGAAGGGGGGGGGGTGACAAAGACGATAGATTTTTTAATAGGAAAGAAGAAGCAAACCACACAAGAGCACACGCCAACCACCTTCCTTTTTTTTTTCTTTAAAAATAAAATGGGCGTTTTCACGCCGCATGGACAAAACTTAGATAATCTAAGAATTGAGTCTACCAGTCTGCATAATAGTAAGTTGTTTTGGGGTTGTTGTTTCGGGGTTTTTTTTTAATGTAGGTGTTTTTACGTGCCGTCGAACCAATTTAGACAATCTAAGGATGGAGTCTACCAGCCTACATAAATTAGGTCTCGGCTTCCCAGAAGGCATACAGTGCAAGTAGCCGATTTAGCGCTCAAGCTTTGATAAAATTGACACGGCACATAAATGCTATATGAATGCAACTTTTAATTTCTTCTCGTGCATTCAGCTCTATTTTAAAAATTCTTTCGGTTCGCACGGGGAACGGATGATTGGCGATAACTCTTGTGTGGTTTGCTCCTTCTTTCCTATCAAGCATCTATCGTCCTTATTTCTTTTATGTTTGTTACTCTCTTGTAACACCTCTAATCCCCGTCCCTTATATTATTATGTCCTAACAGAGTTGCAAGTGCAGTTAAACTCTTACTAAATCATAGTGTTGGACGTGTTTTGTTAGCCCCTTATTTCCCTTGTACCTAGCTCTTCTTTAAACACCACTTCAGTGGCTGTGGTTCCGTCACGCCACAATGAAAGTTTATTATCATTAATTCAATGCGTTATGGAGTGCCAAATGTCTTTTCTTTGGTGAATATAAAATGAATTTACTTATTCATGTATCGATTTATTGGTTGATTGATTGATTGATTGCTTGATTGCTTGATTGCTTGATTGCTTGATTGCTTGATTGCTTGATTGATTGATTGATTGATTGATTGATTGATTGATTGATTGATTGATTGGTTGGTGGGTTGATTGGTTGGTTGATGGGTTGATTTATTGATTGATTCGTTCCTTGATTGATTATATTCTCAGCTCTGATGATTCAAATGACAGAAGCGACAAAGAATGAGCTCGACAGACGCGGTGGTTACGTCATATCCGAGCGAGGGAAGGTTGAAATCAAAGTAAGTCGGACTGCTTCCATATTTATCCGTTAATGTCTTCTTCTTTTACCGTAAAGCATAACGTAAGTTTAACCTTTAAATTAGCTTAACAATAACCATACTGCAAGGAAAATATCAGGTCTTACGTCTTGAAAATTTAACCCGCTTATTATGTGCATTTGCTGGAAAAAATATCACTTTTAGTTAGGCCATTGCTTGTGTACACATTCTTTAACGTCATCCTTCTTCCCTTTTTTCCCTCAACATGATCGTCATCATGATCCTCATGATCATCATCATCATCATCATCATCATCATCATCATCAGCAGCAGCAGCAGCATCGTGATCATCATCATCATCATCATCATCATCATCATAATCATCATCATCTACTATTACTCTAGTCAATGATGTCCTGTCTTCTTCCACTCGTCCCCAGGGCAAAGGAAAGATGACGACATACTGGCTTCTCAGCAGAAGCGTTGGAGATACTGACGTCACCGAAAATTTTGAGGAACCAGACGCGTGACATCACAAGAGAGTGTCCCCTGCGATCGTAATAATTCCACAATATTTGAGCAATATTTCTCTACGTTCAGATGGAGGCTTGCAAAGATTCATTTCGTGCACACCACCCGCAATTTCGTCTTTTATGATAATACAGATAACTATATTTCTGTGCGAATGGCATTAGGCTTAGCAGGAAATTATGGTGTTTGTCAGAAAGACAATGAAGGCCCATGGTAGGTCATTTTGGAGGTGGTTTACTTCAACTTCATCTGTCAGGACTAACCAGGCCTGAGCGGGATATAACGTTCCAGTAGACAGAATCAATACTCCTATGTTTGAAGGTGGAATCGGAGAAATGTTAATGTACCGTGGGCCGTCCTGAGAAAATTCCTCTGAAACAAAGGTCTGGTTACATTCTCCGGTATCTAGATAACTCTTTCTTTCAAATTAATGATTTAATAGAAGATCGTACTATACATAATAATATATAATATCTTATAA